AAAAAAAAAAAAAAAAAAAAAAATCATGCCATGCATCACATGACAAAGGACATGTGCAAGATGAAGAGAATAGAAACCAGAATCTGCAAGACCATGACCAAAGTAGTACACAAGGAATGCAGAGAGCAGCCATTGGAGGGTTATAATCAGCGATGAATCATAATGATAATAGTTTTTGCAACCGGAAGGATTGACCGCAGTCAATAATCACAGGCAGTACCTCCTTATAAGTCGGTTCAGCTGTTCGGGACATCTCTGGTACGCGGTGCTTCCCCTCGGCAGTGAGGACCTAGGTTGCAGTCGACTCTGGGACCACATCACTGATATCCAATGAAGGACCGGGTCGATCTTCAAAATGTAGGTCATGCACCGAACCATCTCGTCGTCCATATTCACGAGGTACAATTCCTCGGCAAGGGGGAGATTGCCAGTCGCTCCAACCAAGATCTCAACTCACCCTTTGCCGTAAAAAATACAGTTAGTATATCTCAATGAAACGGTTTTCATAAACTGACTTTCGAAAAGTCTGCATAGAAAAGTCTTCGCCGACAAGATGACTATGGTCATCCCCAAGATAGGGGGCTGGTCCTTTTCCTCGACTGTCACATCCGTTTTCTAGGAATGTCAAGATACGATCAATCCCCCTCAAGTAGGTAACGTGCCAGAAGGTCAGCATTCCGCTGCAGTGCTGTCGTCCGTCATCGTCACTTTCCGGTTTCCAGTGTGGTGATACGAGCAAGGTCACAGCTAGTCACAGAATGAAATCAGTCTCTATGAGTGTCCCAGTCGAAGTAATCCCTGAGGTTAATGTCACTCACACCGCAAGGTTCCTGATCTGATTCATCTGTCTCTGATCTCTGTTAACATGTAATTATGGGAATCCCGCATCTGGCTACTCCACTTCTGATTCATTTGTTGTTGGGCCTTTTGGCCTTTGTCATCTTTCTTGCTGAGGAGCATCAGTTAAAGCGGGCTTCAGCTGGTGCCGAAGGGATGTGTGGAAACAGAACACGTAATCAGTTATCCCTCCAGTATCTCTCCCTGCGAAAGATGTAATCACCTTTGACTGTAGGTCGCGCTCTTCACACCCTTCTCAGCCTTTTTGACGATGATTACCAATGTGTGCCTCGCGGTGAGGGACTTGTTCTGATGCCCAGTGTAGTCACGACGAAACTCTTCAACACGTTTGCCCACTTCGGGGTTGTAGAACATTGGCGAGCCAACTTGAATAGCCTTTTTTTTTTTTTTAAAGCCCAGGAGGGTGTTGTAGAGGCTGAGGACCAGACCCACGGTGATTGCTGGTAGCGACAACCACTGGTTGTCCTGACCGGATAGGCCACCTACCCTACCGATCCCCACGTTAGTACTCCCAGCGCACCCCCTGACAGTGTCCCTACTATCCTACCTCAGTGTGACCAACACTTAGGACCATCACCCTACTACCTGTATCGAGGGCAACGTGGACCAGACAGCAGTGACAAGCACCAAGGCTTGGCCAACCTCCCAGCCCTAGCGGAAGCGGATGAACCTTGCCGTATGCGAACTTCGGACGCCAGGCTCATGCAATCTTCTACAGGCCCAATTCAGAGAGTCTACCCAGCAAGATGACCTAAGCAAGGCAGGCCAGCGCCCGCGGACACATCCAACCGTCCTTCCCCTAGCTTACCCAAGTCTAGGCGGAACTCGAGACTAGCCAGAGCGACTTACATCCCTACCCTACCATAGAGCCAAGCAATGCCTGAGTAGACCCCGTCATATACCTGATAGACCCCCGCAGGCCAGTATCGTAGTTTTGTATGTATATGTGTGTGTGCCCAGAGGCCGTGTATGTTTGTACGAGCCCATAGGTGCCCGAAGGCTATGTGTGCTCTGTGTAACTGTATAGCGAGATGTATGTGCAGGAAGGGCCAGTTGAGGGAACGATGTGTTCGTTTTGAAGAGAGAACTGGTCAAGCTGGACAAGAACCCCCCGCCAAAGTCCCAAGCCAGACTCGAACCTGTGATCTATGACATGTGACCTGAAGACTCTACCATTTCAGCAACAACCACCCCGTGTGTGTGATATGCCAGACTGGAGAGATCAACAGAACAGCCAGTGGCACGAGCAACAGCCACAAGCAACCCACGCAATATCAAGACCCGACATACAACACGATGGACAACCCTTGGGTGGTGCACAGGCAGTGTCTGTATAAGCTTAGCGTGCGTCAGCCCAAGGGGGCTGTGTGTGTCCAGCCGTGCAGCATTCTAACGCCCTGCCGGTGTCCATGCGCAAGGTTGCAATTGAGTTTTGAACCCGCGACCTCATACCACAATGCACATTTGCAACCAGTGCTCCGAGTCTAACCACTGAGCTACATCAACTGCCAACTTTTTTTTTTTTTTAACATCAACTGCCAACTTGAATAGCCGGAAGTTACGGTTTGGCCTCGGAGTCCTTGAGCGGCGCTGTCTGACAAGATCAAAGTGATAAAGATCACGTCTAGACTAGCCGGCCGACAGGAATGAAATGCAAAGGGCCACGTTGGTGGGCCTGCCCGGAAGTTTAGTTAGGGAACAACTCGACTGAGTGAAGCCTTTAAAGAGACCTGTTAACAATCAGGAACCGATGAACCCGGGCCCCGTGAACAGCAAGTCACGGGAAAAGTGCACCCGAGTGGGCCCGGTTAGCAGCAATACATAGAAAGGGCCCGCCTGTATGGGCTCATCCAACAGCCACTCAATAAATGGGTCTAGCCAATAGCAACTCAATAAAGGGACCCCCACCTGAATGGGTATGGCCAAAAAGCAACCTGTGACTCAAAAGTACAGATCCACCTGAATAGGCCTGGCTGAACAGCAGCCAGTAATTGAAAGTAAGGGGCCTGGCTGAACAGCAGCCAGTAATTGAAAGTAAGGTCCCGGCT